CTAACAAAGAACTGTGATTTAAAAATATGTTATATGTGCTTGACATACAAAAGAACATTGTTTCTAGGATCCTTCTAAGTAGGGATGGGCATGGGTCGGGTTTTTAGTCCACCTGACCCTATCCGAGAACAATGAATCCTTCACCCGAGATCTGAACCGACCCGACTTGACAGAAACAAGATTTCACCCGATCCGATATATAACTTAAAAACCCGACCCGACCCAAAATAATAAAAAAATATTATTTTATTCAATAAAAACAGTGACTTAATTGAAAAATATATATAGAGAGGGTATTATTGTAATTATTCCTGAATATATAAGGTAAAATTATTTTTTTCGGGTCGGGTTGGGTATTTTTCACCCTAAACCCGACCTGACCTGACCCAAACATCATATTTAAAAACCCGACCGAACCCGATTTTCTTTTAAAAACCCGACCCGATCGGGTCAGGTCGAGTTCAAATCACATGCATATCCCTACTTCTAAGTGTAATTGATTTTAGGAAGGTTTAAACTTCATAAATTAATTTTATCAAAAGGAAAATTATTTGTAGGACAACAATATGTATTGAATGATACGTGAAAGCTCAATAGTATCTCTATAAAAGCTAATACTATGAATATGAATGATATGTGTATTGAATGAAACTTTACGCATATTAATTAACTTTACGCAGATTAATTAACTTAGAACACATTTTCTCATTTTATATTAATTATAATCATAGATGTGAAACATATTTTGAGGTAAAACTAACAAAGTCTTCATTTAAATTTGTTGAAATAAATATTGAACCACTTGATCTAATACACAACAATGTTTATGATTTAAAGTTGGCATAATGACAAAATTACCCCCAATGTTTGTACAAATGATCACTTTGCCCCTATCCTTTTTGGAGCATTTTAGCCCCTAATATTTTATTTTGGAGCAAAATACCCCATGGTTGGATCAAAATCGTTAGTTGACTAACAATCAATGCTTCCTATTGACGTAGCAGGTCCACATGTGATGCCACGTCAGTAAAAAAATATTTTTGAAGTAAGTTATACATGTAATTAATTACATATATACTTATAAAAATATATTTAAAAATAATAATTTAGAAATAATTTTTTGATAATGTGACATCACATGTGGACCTGCCACATCAATAGGAATCGTTGATTGTTAGTTAACTAACGATTTTAATTCAACTAGAGGACATTTTGCTCTAAAATAAAACATTAGGGACTGAAATGCTCCAAAAAATGATAAGGACAAAGTGACTATTTTTAGAAACATTTGGGGTAGTTTTTTTATTATACCTTTAAAGTTTATAAATTAAAGTTTGTTCAAGGAGAGAGAATATTTTTATAACCTTAATTAATGAAACACAAAATATTGTTATGTATCTTTTCTTAAAAGCAAAGATGAAAGTATAAAAAATTTATTCTTTATAACCATTAAGTTAAAACCCAACTTAACAAAATGATTAGGAGAGCAAGAAATGATTGGGTGATGAATACGTTGAATCATTTGATCAATATCATGCACAACATAGTATTATTTATGGAGACATCATCATATTCTCCTCAATCGAATAAAGCATAAGGACGAAAAAATAGAACCTTAAAGGAAATTATGAATGTTATGCTAGGAAGTTCTAGATTGTCACAAAATGTGTGGAGAAAGTTATTTTATCAGCAAATTACTTTTTAAACAAAGTACCCTGTAAGAAGAAGGACAAGACACTATGAGTTAAGGATGGACAAAATCTTCCTAGAACTATTTAAAAATGTGAAGGTGTCTTACAAAGGTAATAACTTCATTATCAGAGCAAATGTATAACACTCATAACCCGTATAATTACACCGATACAGATTATAGATGTCAGCCGAAGTTCTAAAACCATCTCCACTTCAAAAAAATGATTCAGATTTTTTTAAATGGTAAATGATATTATGATAATATCATATCACATGCATTATGCTTCGTTATAACAAATTTAAAACTAAATATTTTTTTAAAATGAATAGTGAATAGTGAACAGTGTGTCGTGAACAATACTGCTACAGTAACTTCTGACAAATATGCATAAAACTCGTAAAAATTTATACGTGCATCATTATACAGCTACCATTTACATAAATACGTTTAAATTCATTTAAAACATGTTTATTAAAATCTATTACATGTTGACTAAAATATAACTAAAACAGTTCATTATGTCATACGGTTACTGATGAGGCGACCTTGACTGAATATCCATATATCTCCTTACAAGTTGTATTCAACTTACGCGTGAAATAAACACACGTTTAGTATTACTTAGTGAGACATAAATAATCACGAATAACATTTCTATATACAAATTATCTTCCGATATTTAATCTCCAAGAAATCTTTAATTCCAATGAATATACTATAATATGCATTACTGATGCCATTAACTCATTTATCATTCATTATTGGAATCCATACATTCCATAGGAAATTCATACAATTCATGTAATTTCCTTTTAATATTAGCACTATCAGTGCTCCATCTGGAAAATCATACACTTAGTATGCTTCCCTTTTCGTTTTAGCACACAAAGTGTCCTATTCGAAAATCCATACCATTAGTATGATTTTGTTACCATTTTAGCACATAATATGCCCTATCTGGAAATCCATATTTTCAATATGATTTCCTTATCATTTAGCACCCTTAGTGCTTTATCTGGAAACCCATACACTCAGTATAATTCCCTTACCATTTTAGCACATAATATGCCCTATCTGGAAATCCATAACTTCAATATGATTTCCTTATCATTTAGCACACTCAGTGCTCCATATGGAAATCTATACACTCATTATGATTTCCTTAACATTTTAGCACACAAAGTGCCATTCGGTAATCACTATACATACATCAATAGATTATGTTATTTTAACTATTATCACATGTACGTACATAATTAAATGCACTCACCTGGTTCGCTTTGCTATTATTTCCAATACGCAATTCCGATTACTCAGCTACTTTGTCTTTGCCTTTCGTTTTGCTAGACTCGGGAGCTTGATTCTGATCTACTCAAGCATCCATTAAAGACACATTCAATATCACTTATTAGTACATTTAAATCTTTAATTTCTTAAACTAAAAGAAAGACTATTTCCATTCATTTATTTGATGTATCCATCGATACATTTTATAGTGTATCGATGCATCCTCTCTCTGGTGCATCAGTACACAGCCTACACATCGATGCACTATCTGCCTTCGATGTTTACATCTTAAGGGAGTGCATCGATTCACTCAGTGCATTCGATGTTTATTTATTTAAGTGTGCATCGGTACACTACTTATGCATCGATGCACCTTGTCCATAATTTACATTTGAGCACGAAATTCACTTCATTCCAGCTTAAATACTCCATATTTCAACCCCTTTCATACCCTTAACTCAAATACCTTCATTTAAACTCATTTATACGCATTTACCATATCCTTAACCTCAAAATCTTATCTTCTACATGAGATTCAAGAATCATACCCAATTTTCAACATGTTCTAAATCCAATTCTAACACTTCATATTTCTTAATTAACTTGATGACAAGTCAAATCTACCATAAAACATCCATAAACCTTCATATTTCATCATGTCACTCAAAAACCCATTATCTTTATTCTCTAATATCTCATCAATAACTTTGTTTTAATCTCATTAAAACCTTCCTTTAGCTTCCATAGTATACAAAGCTTCAATCCCCATAAAAATCGAAGTAAATAACCATTAAATCGAAAACTTACCTTTTTCCACGGCAAGAAGAGAAGAAGATGAAAGGATTGACTTCCTATTCCCCTCTTCATCTTATCTCTTATCTTAATTCCTTACTAATTGAATATTAAATTCCATTTAATCCAAATGACCAAAATATCCTTTTAATCATCCTCTCTTACAATTTAGTCTAAGCTATGGATCCTATTCATCCTCATCTTTCATTATTTAATTTAATAAATCCTCGTATTTTTAAATCTTTTCAATTTAATCCTTAAATAAATTTTTGGGGCATTACAAAATGAAAATATATCCTAAAACAATGGATTGCATTTTCATTAGACATGCTCATTACAACAATGCTTATAAATTTCTTATGCGTGAATCAAAGAATCTTAAAATTCATAAGAATATGTTATTGAAACTAAAAATACCTCATTCTTTAAAAATATATTTTCTTATTAGACTAGGAAAATTGGATCAAGTTCAAAAAATGAACTTCAGAAACTATTGATGAAAATAGTCAAGATTTTCAATAAGAGGTTGAAGTCAAGGCAAAGCTAAGAAGAAGTGAGGGGGGTAAGGGTGGAGAACTCATTCAGATTGGATTTCTAACCTATAAGCTAGAGACTAAACCATAAACTTATAGTGAAACTATAAGCTCATCTGAAAGCACTTCGCGAAAAGATGTTATTAAGAGTGAAATTAATTTCATCATGCAAAAGCACGTGTGAATTAGTTGATCTTTCTTATAGAATTAAATCATTAAATTGTAAAGAATTTTTTAAATAAAAATGAAAGTAGATGAAGTTGTAATGCCCAAAATTTTGGTTAGTGACCAAAATCTAAATTTTGAAAGTTTAGTAGCCAAAATATAAAAATAGGAAAGGTTTAAGTACCTAAAACCAGCTTCAATAGATGCTGTGATTCATGGTCGCCTACCACTAAACACAAGACAGTATTCAACAACAATTATAGGCTTCATTCCTTATTACTCTTCTAAATAAGAATGCTTCAAAAGCACCCAACCATGAATCTCTCTAATTTAAAAATGGAAATGAAAAACTTACCCTATGGGCATCATCAAACACTCCAGAACAATGTTCATTAAAATGAAAGTCATAAAACTTATACAAAGAGAAACCAAATTAATTGACTAAAACATATTGAGAGGGGGGAATGAAGAGCAGCCAAAACTCAAAACATGTTCTTAATATTGATAAGATCACAGCGTCAAATCTCTTCTAACAAAGAGAAGCAGTAATACCAGAATAAGAATACAACTAAAACTGATATAATTAAAGAAAAAAAACCCAATTCCATAGCAAAAGCCGAAATTAGAAAACACAAGACAAAGCTAGATCATTTGCCATTAAAATTTCACTCTTCTTCAGTGGCAGACTCTCCGCTCTTCTTGTTGTGCTTCCTCGCATACCTCTGGTTCCTTAAGAACTTTGGATCCATCTACACATCAACGAGGAAAACACCATTTTTTAATTTAAAATCAACAAATCAAATTTACTAAAAAAACCGATTAGATGATAAAAAAAAGAATACCCCTTTGGTGGAAGTGTGGCGGTGCCTCTTGGGTTTCTTGATGCCATTCTTGTGAGCCTTGTAAGATTGGTTGTGAGCTGTGTGATTTTTTGACTTCGCCATTTCTGCTCACCCAAATCCAAAAAACCAACGAACACAAACAAAGTTAATTTGATTTCTATATAAATTATCGATGCCTATGTAGAAAGTTGATCCAAGTGAGTAGCAAAAACCTGAGGGCTATAAGAAGCTGTGGCTCTGAGTAGGGTTTTCGGGTGGAGAAGAGTTTGGCCTTTCATATTTGTAGAAAGTTTGAAACCCTAATTATATTTGTTGGTTAAAATGTTCGTTTCGGGCTTAAAGCCTTAAACTCACATATCGGGCTTGATTTTCGATGCCCATAAAGCTCTGGGCTCAGTAAATTTTGGGTTTTTTTATTGTTCTTAATTAACTAAGTATATTTTGTATTATCTAAAAATATATTTTAACAAATATTATGTAATATTATTTTTTTGAAAATTTATAATTCTGATCTTAACCTTAATTAAAAGGGAGAGAAAGTGAGATTTTAAGGAAAGAAAGAAGGTACTCCTACTAAATCTAGAATTTGATGACCTAAAGGAACATTATGTTTGTGTTGATTTCAATCGGTCTGAAATAATTGAAAAACAAGCCTTATGATTTTCTTATTCTTTCATTTCATGGATTTGATTCTTTTGTTGGATACCGAGATTTCTATTAGAAAAAAAATCAGAAATGAAGGAAAAATGGAATATTAAAAAAAGATTAATTAGTTCTCCTTTTTTTACTATTCCAAAGAATCTCAAATACTCTGTGTAATTTGATTCGTGCAATCATCATGTTAAAATTTGATTGTATGATCCTTGTAGGGCATACATAATTTTTTTTTATTAAGATGTACATAAATTCGGCTCAATTTAGCCCATTCATACTACATAATTGTTTTTAAAATGATTTTTTATATTTATATATTTATTAGAACATTATATACTTTTATATTTTTTTTATATATTTATAATTTTAAAATTAGAACATTCATATAATTAAATTAGGTTTAAAGGTTAAAGAAGCCCCCAAGTATTAAAAAAATAATTAAATCATTATTATTATTCCATTCAGTTGAGTCCTTTTTATTGTTACATGTTACTATACTGACCTGATTGTTAACCTTATAAATATGAAGGTTAAAGTATGAATAATGACATGATATATGAGTTTGATTATTTTTCTAAAACGTTTAAAACTTATTTAATTTTTTAAAAAATAAAAACTAAAATATTTAAAATTTTATTAAATTAATTTCTTATTATAAAATATTTAAATAATTAAATTTAATAAACATTTTTCAAAAATATTAAATTTTATAAAATAATTAAAAGTTATTAAAAGGTTGTACAGTAAATCAGTAATTTAGTGTTGGTTTAATTTTAATTATTTGATTCGAACCCTTCAAATTCAATTCATATTTTCTTTAAAAATCTTGTATCAACTATTGTTTAATTTAAATATTATTTTTGTTAACTATATAATAGTTATTTAACTTGATGTCACGATCAAATGTTGTTTACCTTCAAGTTTAAGGTTCAATTATCCCCAAAATTATTCATGTTTTCTTTAATTTTCACTATCATCATTTTATTGAAGAATTAAATGGATTATATTATCCAAAATTAAAATGAGAACTAGATTGAAATGATTGAAATCATTTTAAATATTGAAGGTTAAATTTATCAAATTATATTTAAATTAGGAATAATTAATAGAATATATAAGTTTAGGGTACTAAAATTATTATTATACCAGGTTAAGTTATTATCTTTATTAATTTTATAACGATAGGTGATCAAAATAAAATACAAACATACCAATAATAACTGAAATGCCAAAAAAAAATAATTTAATGACTAAAATAGAATTGCAATTATAATTAAGTAACAAAATTAAATAGTTTATATGAATAGTTGAGTTGGAGATTTAAAATATTCGGATTGACGTTCATTTTTTATATGATATCAAAGAAAAAAGCTTGTTACATCATACTAGCTTAGACAATGGCGAATCTAAACTCGGTATACAATGAGTTTATACGAGGGATCAAATACATTTAATGTTTTTTTCTCCCAAAATTTTCTGCTTTTTATAAGGATGTTGGAAACCCAAATGGCATCAAGTGATGCTGTTTTTTACACGTCAATCCGCCACTGAGCCAAGACAATGTAATACAATCATAGGGGATCACTTATAATACTTGATTGAGGCATTGCAACTGATTTTGCTAATCTGTAACCACATGAATCACTTGCAATGAATTATGAATCCCCCGCCCAAGTAGGTGAGTAAAATGTAAAAAAAGTAACATAAAGATTTGCTTCAAGCTTTGCATTGCTTGGACTCTACGAAGCATAAAAAGCAAGCAAAATGGAACATTCCATCATTCATCAACCCTGAAAATCTCCCTTCCCCTAACACATCATCTTAATTAATATAAGCACTGGGGTTGATTCTCCCCTACCCTCCATCAAAACCGAAACCTATTCCCTGATCTTGCAATGGAGTACTCCAAATGGCTGCTTTTTTCGACGATGGCGATGATGCTGGCAGTGGGGAAGTGCCAGGAGTCTGTGAAGCCATTGGTGAAGATAGTTAAGGGCAAGAAATTGTGTGACAAAGGCTGGGAATGTAAAGGGTGGTCTAAGTACTGTTGCAACCACACCATTTCTGACTATTTCCAGACTTACCAATTTGAGAACCTTTTCGCAAAGCGTAACACGCCCGTGGCTCATGCGGTCGGCTTCTGGGATTACCATTCTTTCATCACTGCTGCTGCTCACTATCAGCCTCTTGGCTTTGGGACCACTAGCGAGAAGCTTCTGAATATGAAGGAAGTTGCTGCTTTTCTTGGTCATGTCGGCAGCAAAACTTCATGTAAGTAAAAATAATCACTTCAGCTATGCCTTCATTTTGATTTAAGCCATTAAATTATATTTTAGTCAAAATAAGTATTTAATTTTGTGTGACATGTCAACATCATTGGCCAGAAAAATGTTAACATGGGGTCATCCAATCTTGAACTGAAAACCTTTGGTATGTTAGATTAATGTGATAACCAACTACACCATTTGCTGCCTTCATTTTAACGTTTACTTTTGCACATGTTATTGTATTCATAGCACGTTATATTTTGGACACCGGCGGATCCATTAAAGATGGAGGGTCGATATATACTCATTTTGAAATTCAATTTTTTTAAAAAAATATATATTTATTGATTCGGTCCATAACCGTGGGTTCCGATGCACGAGATCTTTTAGCACTTACCAATGAGATCGTATTGATTAGTATTACACAAAAAAAAATCAATTATATACACTAATACAATTAGATATGCTCTTCATAGACAAACTTGGGATTTGAGATGCCAGGTAAGATCGATTCCTCTACTAAAGCAATTAACAATCTAAATTATATAATAATTCAAATGCTTATCAATTAATCAAATTATAAGTTATTATCAATTATTATTAATTTATAATATTTGTTATTAAGTAAATATAATTATTTATAAATCTATATTTCTATATAATATTATTCTTAATAATATTATATATCTTATATATTAGATATATATTATTATATCTTATTTATTATTTATATATTATTATTTAAATAATATTTAAATTAAATAATATTGAAATATTTAATGTATTATTTATAATAATTTAAGTATAATAATATTTTCTTAATTTAATAATTTAAAATATTATTAATTTAATAATTTAAAATCTCATTTTTTCTATTTTATTGTGTACATCCTAAAATTTTAATTTTTTTTCTACCCATAAAAATTATATTATTAATAAACGTGCATTCACTTTCAAAAATAAATTTAGGTTTGCCAACTGATTCTAGATGTGGTTCATAATGATTTCAGGTGGGTATGGAGTGGCAACCGGGGGACCATTGGCTTGGGGTCTTTGCTACAACAAGGAAATGAGCCCCAGCAAAGTGTACTGTGACGACTACTACAAATATACCTATCCTTGCACCCCAGGAGTTTCTTATCATGGCCGTGGTGCCTTGCCTATCTACTGGTATGCAAATTTGAGTCCTTAATTTGGGTTTCAGTCATGCATATATCAAGACTCAAACATTGAAATTTGAAACCCAGAAATATATTTTATAACTTGGGTTTTCATCGATCGACTAAAGGAATTACAACTACGGAGAAACCGGAGACGCTTTGAAAGTGGACTTGCTGAACCACCCAGAATACTTGGAGGACAACGCAACGTTGGCTTTCCAGACAGCAATCTGGAGGTGGATGACTCCGGTTAAGAAACACCAGCCTTCGGCACACGACGTTTTCGTTGGAAACTGGAAACCGACCAAGAACGACACATTGGCCAAAAGGGTTCCAGGCTTTGGAACCACCATGAATGTTCTTTATGGAGATCAGGTTTGTGGACAAGGTGATAGCGACTCAATGAACAACATCATCTCCCATTACCTATATTACCTTGACCTTATGGGAGTCGGCCGGGAGGAAGCTGGTTCCCACGATGTGCTCACCTGTGAAGAACAAGAGCCCTTCAGTGTTTCTCCTTCATCTGCCACATCGTCGTGAAGAAAGGGAACTCAGATGGGTTAATGTCGGAAATTTGGTTCTTCGTGTGATTTCCACTGTGCGTTGATGGCAACGATTATGGAGTTTTACTTCAGTTTGTGATGGTTGTATACATTTTGAAATTCATATTTTATTATCAAATGGTGTATAAGAGTAATATCTATTGCCAATACTTTGCATATGTAATTGGGATCTTTCTCTAATGAATGCCTCAATTTATTTTTAATGCATCTCGTTTAAAAGCATTATACAAAAAGTTTGTTTTTAATTGTTTACATTTGAAAATGTGAATATTTTTGTTGGTAATGCTCAATCCCACATAGTATTGGAAATACTATTGGGAATGAGTATTTATAGTATGAAATTCCCACTTCCTTGTTGAGTGAAAGAGAACAAGGGGGACTCTCGCGCACCGCCGTCTGTCTTGTCTCGGCTCGGCACGGCTCGGGTCGTGGTAATACGTGTCTTCGACACGTCCGCGCGGATACTATCGTTTTAGAGAAAATTCTTGAGGAATTTCTCTTTGCAAGAAACAAATGGAAAAATGTGAAAGATTTCAACTGATATTTATAGGCTGCTTAGGACTGTTTAAATTCAAATGATAACAGCTGGTTTATGAGAGTTATCAGAAATTAAACAGCTTTTCCTAAATTAAATCAAAAAACGTTAAGATGTATCTGGACTGATTTCCAGCTTTGTACATGTAATATCCCAAATCAGGGCCAGTGACTAAATTGCAAATTTTGAAAGTTTTGTGTTCAATTTAGAAATAAATTAAAAGTCTCGGGAGTTAATTAAAGAATTTTAATATTGGATTAAATAACAAAGATGGATGAACTAAAGGGGCAAAATGGTCTATTTATGGGAAAGACTTTTATCTTCCCTTTTTGAGTATTATAAAACGTGGGAAATATGAGAGAGTTCCAGACTTCTCTTCTTCATTCTCTTCTTTTCCATCGTGAAACCATAAGCAAAGGTAAGATCTCTTGTTAGTTGATATTTAGCTGAATTTAGGATTTGGTTATGATTATTGGATGATAATTAAGCTTTAGGAAAGCTTAAATCATCTTAAAAACAAAGGATGGTGGAATTAGGAGATATTAAAGATTAAGAGTTTTTGAATTAAATTTTGGAATAGAGTTCATTACTAAAATTGGAAGTTGAATTTGACTTGTCATCTATGAGACTAAGAAGCTAGAAGTGTTAGAATTAAGTTTGGGTAACATGGAAAAATTGGTATGATTCTTGAATTCTATGTAGAGGATTAGATTTTGAAGTTAAAGATGTATTGAATGACTAGTAATGAGTTTAAGCATGTATTTGTAAGTTAAGAATAAGAAATGGGATGATATATGAAGTGTTTGAGAGGAAATGAAGTAATTTTCGTGCTGAAAAATGTGATTTCTAGGCTAGGGGAATCGGTACCCATTCAAGGGGAACCGATACCCCCTCAAACGAACTAGAATTTACAGAATGTCATGGGGGAACTGATACCCCCACAGGAGGGAACCGATTCCCCCCTAAAGGAAGAAATGAATATTGGTTTATTAAGTTCGTTTAAGTTGTTAGTATTGAATTACAAGATGTAGGTATCTAATAATTGTCTTGAAAATGTATAATTATGTAGATTCAGAGCCTGAACGAGTTCCGGAATCATTGTCAAGTAAGATCGATCAAAGGGAAAGATAAGAGATTGAAATTGACTAGTGAGGTCAGGTGAGTGCATATTCAATAGTATATGATGGGTGATGGGAAGAAGACTTACGATGAGTCTATTTCCTGAAGAGTTACATATGAATTCATGATTAAAGGCATGAGTTGAATATGAGTGTATGTATGCTTGATTATATGAATTGATATGTTTTGTATGTGCTATGTGGTTTATGTACATACACTATTAAGTGTTAATGAGAGAATATTAAATAAGTTATGAAATTATATGAATATAGAAGATAAGTCAAGAGATATAGGGAAATGGAAATAGAGGTTTATGAAGAATCATAGGAGAATAAATATAAGTAATAAGATAATGAAATATAAGACTATGTGAAATACATGGTTATGAGAATTAGTAAAATAGAGTTATTTGATTTAATGAGAATTGAGGAAACTAAATAAGATTGAATTATAGAATGGAATGAGAATAATATATCTATTAGGGAACTTGAATATAAAGCGCTGATATGAATATATATATATGATAAATTATATGCTAAAGATCTATGGGGTTATATGAAAAGGTTATAAGAAATGTATGAAATTGAATTAATTAAATGGATTAGGTAGTATATAAATAAAATATGATTAAGTGTAATATATATGTTTAGAAATATGACATAAGTTATATAATATAAGGGAATATAAAGAAATAAAGCATAAAGTAGACGAAATGAGATAAGTTATTATATACCTATATGATATACGTTATCAGGTAATATGAAAGGATTCAGGAAACTTATATAAGCTATGTGAAAGTGATCTAGGTGTTTATATGTGAATTATTCAGTAATAAGTTATATGAAATAAGTGTATTGATTACCAGATCATAAGAGATAAGTAAGAGAATGTGAATAATATGACCAGAAACTATGAGCCTGTGTGATGAAATGAATATAGGAAGACATGACTATGAGATATGTGATAAGAAGTTATGATTAAATGATCAAGAGTTATAAGCTAAGGGATATCTGTGAATTACATGAAAATGTACTATGTGTAAGTGAATTACGTGATTATATGATTATGAAATCATATGAGAATTTACATGAACTACGTGATTACATGTATGTGTGAATGAAGCTACGAGCTTATATGAATATGTGATATGTTTACATGAATATGTGCAAGGATATAAAAGATAGTGCCCATGTTATGTGTCTTGAGAGCTAGGGGTATAGTTGGCATGCCAAGAGTCGAGGGTCTACGCGGTCCTTCGGGATATGTATATATTCTTTGGAACATGTGTGAAGTCTTGTGAGACACATACTTGATCCCTAGTATATGTATATGATTCTTAAGGAATGATATGTGGTCCTGATGGACATTATTATATGGAACTACGGTGCAATTCTACGCGGCACTCCGGTGCAATTCTACGTGGCACTTCGGTGCAATTATACGAGCTGTGGTGACAGTATTAGTGCACAATCTCTATAGACTCACATATCTATGGTTCTCACATGTGAACATGGGCTATAAAGGAAATAATATAAAAGAACCTTGCATAATAGTATGTGATTGGTTTGTAATCTTTATGGTGTGAAGTGATATGTGATATGATGATGTGAATATAGCTTGGTTAAGAGGAATTGATGCAAGAACATATGACAAAAAGATAAAGAACGAAAATAAGACTAATAAAGAGATAATAATAAATACCTTACATATGATTTACATGTTTTGTGCTATGAAACCTGTTATAAGAATATGTGAATGATGTATGTGTACAAGTGGATAGTGGTTGCATGACATAATGTATTCTTTTTTATGATATAATAAGTATAGATTATGAATGCATTAGTAGTGGTTTATGTTTTTATGCCTCACTAAGTCATCGACTTAGCGTGTGAGTGTTTCACACGTAGGTTCCGGAAAGCTAGAAGAAAAGTGAAGAGGAGCAAGACTGGTAAGTTACTTCTTACTGAAGATCAGATCAGAAAAGATGTCTTGAATTAGATGTATTTTGTATATTGAATATAGTTGGCATGTACAAATTGATTGAGTTAAACAAACCGCTGTGACTTTAATGAAAGTTTTAAATTTTCTCGAGTTTTTGTCATGAGTCAAAGTTTGAAAAGTCAATGTGACACCTCAGACTCGTATCCGGGTCGGGTACGAGTTGGGGGTGTTATAGTACAGAGGGGACAAGCTGTTAATATCAGGAGTTACAGGAGTTATTTGATTTAATTCCAGGGGTTACATGATATAATTTCGGGAGTTATAACAGCTAAATAATGATGCAATGAACCTGGACTATTTTTGAGTCAGGTTCATTTAGACGTTTCAACTGTTACAAAAGAAGAGATTTAATCCTGAAATTTTATGGACGATTTTAACCCTATATATAACCTATAAATAGAGGGTTATATTCAGCTTCTCAACTCACTCTCAACATTCACAATTCACTCTCAAAGTGTTTTCTATAATTATTCTTGTTGAAAACATTTTGATGTTTCGATATAACAAATTAAATTAAAAGAATTTTAATTTTGAAAATGATTTTTCTAAAGTATATTCGATATATTAAATCGAATATCAAAATATTACTCAAAGTATTTCAAAGTTCACTTTAAATCCTTACTCAAGTGTAAAATTAAGTTTTAATCTTAAAATAATTTCAAAACGATTTTACAAAATATTTCGAACTATTTCAAAAGTCAAAAATTCTAGATTGCTCAGAGGGAACTGATTCCCCCCCAAGGGGGTATCGATTCCCCCTGAATAGTTTGGCTCCGAGAATTCCAGTATGCTTGGAGGGAACCGATTCCCCCCAGGGGGTACCGATTCCCCCCACTGTTCAACGGTCAAAATATTTGAATTTTACACTTAAGGAATCGATTCCCCATTAGGGGTACCGATTCCCCCACACTCCAAGCAAAAATATTAATTGTTTTCACACTTAAACGGCTCCAAAAACTTCATTAATGATCCCCAACGTTCAGAAGTGATTCAAGGTGTATTTAAGCAAGCTTAGAAGCCATTGATCAACAACAAGAAACATCAAGCAACTAGAATCAAGATAGAATCAAAGAGAAAGCATCAAACCTCAAGTTTGAGCATTTCAAGCCTATTTTTCATTCAATATTCATTTTGCTTTCAAGAACACTTATTGTGCTCAATTGTATTCATTCTTGAGTGTTCTTTTCTTTGTTCTAGAATTGTGCAAACAATATACCTTGTGAGGATTTCCTTGTAAGTTTGCAAATTTGTACTGTTCTCTTTGGGAGAGAGTGTTCTCAAGAATTTGGGGTATAATTCTTGAGGGTTTGTAAGGTTACTCTTTTTCCTCAAAAGAAAGACAAATTAGTGAATTTGTGGAAAATCCTTAGTGTGGATAGCTAAGGTAGTGGACGTAGACTTTGGTTGAGAAAGTCGAACCACTCTAAATCGCTGTGCAATTTTATTTCAATTTTCTGCAAAAGCTTCTACCAAAATTTTAATTGCCAATTCACCCCCTCTTGGCCATATTCGTCAATCGATTAACTCAACAATTGGTATCAGAGCCT